GCAGGGTACCCAGTGGCCTAAGGCGTGTAGCAAGAGTTGTCTCCCTTAACTTTGTCCCTTCCATCGAGAGCAAGCCAGAAGTCAGAGGTGTATCTTGTTCCTCTGGAGGTTGGCTTTCCTGGACCTTGGTAAGGTCCCAGCGTACAGGAGAGGGGCTTTGCAGGAACAGGGCATTTGGAGTGACAATGCCACGCCAATGCCAGCCTTGTTTCTTTGCTGGAAGAAGGGGTAACGTTTGGTTTCAGCGTCCTCCGAAGGAGTATGTGGTAGCTCATGGGGACATGCTGACACGAGGCAGGAGATGCCCAGCCTGTGTGCCTACCCACTAGCCTGGAGTACACGTGATATAACCCTTCCTTCACTTGTGAGCCCTGCATGCTGATGCTTCAAAGGGAGTGGAAAAATTGCTACTCACCCACAACCCACAGCCTGGCTGCAGCCCCCTTTTCTTCCCTCATCAACTGCTGTCCTCTAGCCCCGCCCCCCTCCGTCTGCAGCGGCCTTCCTTGTTCACGGCAAAAACGACCCCTGTCCTTGCTCTGCTTCATTTCTCTTGACCTCTTCAAGCTTGTATCGTCCGTCCTACCTGTATCTCCCATCCCAGTTGTCACTAACACTTGCCCATTGCAACCGCTGGGCCCATCCAGAGAGCAATCCCAGCGCCCCCTGGGAGCAGAGGGTCGACGAGCCTGAAGAAACGGAGAGGTGATCAGGCCGTATCGAGATGTGGGTTGGAGAATCCCTCCCTTCCTTTTCAGTGGACGTACTTGTAGCTGTTAAGAGCGGGGAGGTATTGGTGGCAGTTGGGAAGTGACTCAGGGTGAAGCTTAGAATCCACTTGGGGGTGATTCTGGCCTCTCCCTGGAATGTTCCAGGCATTGGTCATGTCTCATCATTCGCAGCTGTGGTGGCACTGAATCTGATGAGTTGGGTAGGTGGCACCTGCCAGGATAGTGTATAAGGCCTGCAAAGATTGAATCTGTCTGATAGATCAACCTTACGTTATTTGCTTCAGAAAAAGGTTCAGCCGAAAGCAGGTCTATCTGCCCTGGGCCATGGAGTAAATATATAGTCTCCACCCCCAACCTCCCCCCCCCCAAAGAAACGAAAGTCACTGTCGTCAAATCTGGTTTGACTCATCGGGACCCTGTAAGACAGAGTAGAACTGTCCCCGTGGGTTTCTGGGATTATTACTCTTTATGGGAGCAGAAAGCCTCATCTTCCTCCCAAGGAGTGGCTGGTCTCAAGCTGCTGATCTGATGGTTTGCAGCACCCAAAAGCCTCTCCAAAGAGTGTTTCATCTACAGAGTGGGGCCCTGCAATGGATCACCAGCAGGTTTCCTTTAAGCGCCCCACCCCCACCCCGAGCCTCCCCTACAGGTGTCTCTACAGGTGCTTCTTATCTTTGCTTGTGTTCTCACCGCCTCCCCTGGCCATTCGGTCTCCTCGTCCTTTAACAGCTCCAAGTGTAAACCAACTACAAGGGGAAGCCTCTACGCCCATTCATAGATATGATGTGCCTGGTGGAAGACAGAGTGCGGGGAAGGTCACCCCGGATGAATGCAGTTCGTGCTTCTGTCTGCAGAGCAACGTCCCGGGCCTGGACTGCAAAGGAAGGGTCTTTCCACAGGAACAGGTTCCTGTCCGTCTGCGGCCCTGCGTGAGTAAGCGCGTTATTACAGGAACAACGGGGTTAACGAGACCGCTTTGCCTCAGAGTTTCACTTCCCAGCCAAAGCTTTCAGCTCTGGGTGGATAGGGAGGTAGGTCGACCCCAAAGCAAGGGGGAAAGACATGCCACCTTCCTCCATTGATTGCCCTTGTGGTCTCCTATGGTTAGTTCTCAAGGCCTCTGCCAAGAACTGAGGCTGGTATGAGACGGGCTGGGCCCTGCCTATGGAAGTGGTTGATTTGGGCCTCTGCTCAGACAGTCCCCGGCTCTCTGTCTGGTTTTAATGGAATAACCTGGTAATGGCTCTTTCTACCTGAGAGCCAAGCTCGAAACCTTGACCCCGTGAAAAGAAAGTCTTACTCATTTCCTACACGTAGTTAAGGAGCTGTAACTTCAACAATAACAATAACTCAACAGGAATGCTGAAGGGCCCTCATGCCATTTGGCAAGCTTGGGAACAGGGCATAACCTACGATGTTACCGACAAACCAAACCTACGGCCATCAAGTTGAGTCTCTCTCATAGAGACCCTTAAAGACAGAGTAGAACTGCTCCCTAGGACTTCCAAGGCTGTCAATCTTATGGGAAGAGGGCAGATGGGTTTGAACTGCCAACCCTGTGGTTAGCAGTCCGTGCTTAACCCGCAGCACCGCATGGGCTCTTCCACAGTAGACCTGTGAAGTGCTGAGGTCATAACTGAGGTTCTCGCCGTTCTGTGTGAGACTCTCCAGAGCCTCCCTGCACCCACATGTTGGGGAAAAGCTATGAGAATGGCCCAAGAAGGGCCTCGTGGGGACAAGACATTTCTCCGGGCGTCCAGGATGAGCTTTGGACAAAGTGCCCAAGCGACAAGGGAACCAGGTAATTCATTTAGACCGAGGGTTCAGCTGGGTATCAGGGTGGAGAGCAGGAGTGGGGTCTATTGTCAAATGCTATCACCCTATATTCATATTGCATATAGTATAAATGCCGGATGGCATGTTTGGAGCGTACACGGAACAGATGCGTGCAGGGAGCACCCCCTATTGGTATACTATGTGGTTGGGGAGGGGCCAGCTTGTCACTGGACGGTGACGCTGCGAAGCGCTGAGAAATGGGTAAAAGCATCCTTGAAGGAGTAGCTTCAGGAGACCTTTCCCGTCGACCCACCGTGGAGCCAAAGCAAAGCAGATTTGGCTGGGGTCTTTGTTTTGTTTTGAAATCTCTGTAGGTGGTTTGTGTCTGTTGCATTTCTGAGAAACAGTGAAGTCAGACTCGTGATGAAAACGTAAAACCAGGAGCACCTAGGCCTTACGAGGCGGCCTCCTGGTCGAAACTGCCCGGTGACTGGGAAGCGAAGCTTCCCGCAAGACGACAGTTTCTATCTGGCCACCAGCAAGGTGTTTGTCTACAAGCAACATTCCTGACACTGGAAACAAGGTTGATGCGTCGCGACATCAGGTCTTGGTCGCGGAACTGAGAAGGCTGACTGGACTATGTCACAAGCACTTGGCCACCTGCATTGGAAACATTTTTATTTTGGCAGAGCTAGGGTGTTGGGGAGTGGCGTGCAGAGGGCCCTGATGGAGCCTGGCATTGCGGGCGGAGGGGACAGCTTCTTCCACTGCTGGTTTACTTGGTGCAAATGGATAAGGATCAAAGCGGAGACGCTGTGTTCAGTGCATGTCCCCTGTGGCCCTCTGCTTCTTATCAAGATGAAAGTAGAGGGAGTCTAGTTGCTGTTACGAACGATTGTGTGGGTGGTTCAGCTGGGACCCTATGCTGAGCCCATCTTAGGTTGTGTAGAGCCTGACTAAGAACTGGTCCCAAGACCTTGCTTTACCAGAGAGGTCAGGGTCTCCCTGCCAGCTGCAGCTTACCTTCCTAACACCAGCTGAATCTTACCTTCCTAACACCACTCAGGCATCCTGGCTAAGCCCACCCGCCTCCCACCCTGGGGGGTGTAGCTTTTGTCACTAGTCGGCCGCTTTTACTTCTCATCCTCATCCCCCTCACTCAAGCTGCTGATGGATGCGGAGGGTCCTTTTGGTGAGGAGAGAGGGGAGGTTTTGCTTGGGAACCATGAGAAGGTGGGCGATGGAGAGCGAGAAGGGGAGCGACTCCTGGTTGGGCTGTTCACCGGGCTCTGCTTTGGTGAGAAGGCCTGCAGCATCCGGGTACTCCTCTCCTGGAACATCTGCTTCTAGAGAGACATTGGAGAGGTTAATTTTAGCGAGCGAGCAGAGCGCCTGGTGACACAGGACAGAAGGGCAAGGAGAGCTCTGTCTCCACATTGTTCTAGGAGTGTGCACCCACCCCGCCCCTCCCGGAATCCACAAGCAGAAACGGGGACATTTCCCATCTCCGAGGAGCAACTGAGTGAAAGTCAGGGGATCAATAACATGGCCATCACTATTGGTTTGAGGGCTCGCTCTTCTGTTCTTCCATTTATAAAATATAATTGAGTGCCTATCCTTTGCCAGACTATACTACGCACTAGAAGGGGCCCAGGTGCCATCCAGTTGATTCTGACTCATGGTGACCCCATGTGTGTCCAAGCAGACCTAGGCCACACAGGGTTTTCCATGGTTGGCTTTGGGAAGGAGGCTGCCAGGTCTTTCTTCCAAGGTATCTCTGGGTAGACTCAAGCCACCAAACACATTAACTGTTTGCACCACCCGGGGACATCGCTGGAGGATGAGCAGTAAATGAAAAACAAAAAACACAACCCTTGTTCTCCTGGCTCTGAGCAGGAATCAGATAATTAAGTTAATAGAATATGTGGTAGGTCAAACAACTGGGACTAGAAAGTCCACACAATCCTGCAATCCCTCTGTGGGTCTGTCCCCTAAAGAAGTAAAAGGCTTAGCAAACAGACATGTGCACATACATGTTCATCGCAGCATTGTTCATAATCCAAGAAGTTGGAATCAGCCCAAATGCCCATCGGATACAATGGGATACTATGGATCGCTAAAATAAATAAATACATTAAAAATTTTAAAAAGACAAAACACCTCATTACATGGATGGAGTTAATCACAAAAGTACAACTTTTTTTTAAGTACAATTATTGGGGGAGAAGGGGGGAACCCAGCACAAGGCTGGATATATAGTCCCCACCCCCAGAGGATGAATAACAGAAAGGTGGGTGAGGGGAGACAATGGAGAGTGTAAGACACAAAATAACAGCAATAATATATAATTTATCAAGGATTCATGAAGGTGGGAGGGTGGGGGAGGGAGGGGGGAAAAAGAGAGGAGCTGATACCAAGGGTTCAAGTAGAAAGAAAATGTTTTGGAACTGTTGATGGCCACAGAGGTGCAAGTGTGATTAATATAATTGAATGATGGATTGTTACAAGATCTGTAAGAGCCCCGCCCAATAAAAAAATTATTTAAACATATGCGTTAAAAAGTACAAATACTGTATGAGACTACTGTAATTATAAAAACCAAGACCAAGACTTGCATAGCACAGGGAACAAGCTTTGGAGGTTCCCAGGGGAACAGGGGTAAAGGTGGAATGATGCCGCCACACACTAGGAGGCCGGCAGGTCCTGACTGGGGTGAAAGGGAAGATGGAGGTCCACAAGAGGGGGTTGGGGTTGGGATAGGATCTGGGGAGCAGGGGCTGATGGTTGGAATTATTGGGTGCATAGTGGACGGTTGGAAATGTAACCCAACCCCCCCACTGCCACCTCATTCACAATTTTAAAATATCATGAAAAAAAACCCAACAAAATCTTGGACAAGTTTAAAGATTGGATTCACTTTACAAGAGCATACTAGTATTTTTTTAACCCTACACATAAAATAAAGATAAACTATTAAAAAATGATGTTGGGCAAGTGAGAAAAATAAAGACAGGAGAGAGGAGAGGGAGTGAGGGACTGCAAGGGGGTGTCTGGTGAGCTGTAATGAGAAATGCGGTGCGCAGGGAAGGCCTGGCTGTGAAGATGCTATTTGAGCAGATTTGAAACAAGTGAGAGAGGAGACCAGGTGACTGTGACTCTCTCAAAGAACCGCAGGAAGGGCAGGTGGATGCATATCCAGGGAAGAGCCAGGAGACTGGTGTGAGAGCACGAGGAGATCACCAGAGAGGGCACTGTGTCCTCTAGGGCTTGGTGGCTGTAGTGAGGATGTTGCCTTTTCCTCGGAGGCGAACATGTGTGACACATTCAAAGAGTAAGGAGGCCGTTGGGGCTGTGGTGTAGCGAGCTGATGGGGAAGGGAGCAAGGGAGGAGGCCTCAGGAGGAGCTCAGGCCTCAGAAATAGTAGAGAATGGTGGTGGTGGTGGTGTTGGGATGGTGGAATATGTGTTGAGCTGCTAACTGCAAGATCCATAGTTTGAACCCACCAGCCACCTCACAGGAGAAAGATGAGGCTTGCTGTTCCCGTCAAGATCGACAGCCTTGGGAATGCACACAGGGCAGTTCTACTCTGCCCTCTAGGGGCTTTAGGAGTCAGAACTGACTAGCTGGCAGTAAGGGAGTGTCACGGAGGACCTTGGTGGGCATTTAAGAATTTGGGCTTTTCCTCGGAGATAAAGAGACACCTCTGGAGACGTCTGAGCAAAGAAATAACACAATCTGGTTCTTGAAAAAGGAACCGCCCTGGCGGATGTGCTGGGAACGGACTAAAGTGAAACGGGCAGAAACGTGGAGAAGCCGCTGCCACCCGAAGACAAGATGAGGACGGCAGCTGGGGCTGGGGATAGCAGTGAAGATGGCGGGAACCAGGAGGTTCTGGGGTGGTTTCCCCATGCTTTTTATGAGGATGTGATTATCTAAATGTTACCATTTCCCCATTTTCACGGACATTCTGGTGAGTTTTACTAAACACATACACTTCAGTCACCATGACTACATTCAAGGCATAGAAAAATTCCATTCAGCGAGTGCTTCTTGGACATTGTCCTTCCCTTTTCATGCTCTAAGTTGACAGCCACCAGGCCTCCCATCTGATAGGGCTTTCTGCCTCTGCCAGCTGATCAGCACCCAGACACTCTGGTCCCTCACTTTGAAGCACTCTGCCTAGGGGCTCAGGTCTCAGTTCTCTCCATTGTTCCTAGCCAAGCCGCCGTCCCCAACAACTGATCCTAAAGGAGTCCTGAGAGCCAATTTTCATACTGGCCATTTGGGACTTGACTTGCTGTTTGGGTTATTCACTCTACAAACCCATCCTGAGACCCTCTGGGTATCAGGTGCTGTGCTGGAGGACAGGTAAGAGAGCCAGGAAGGTGGTGATGTCGGAGTTGGGTCTTCCACAATGCACAGGAGCAGGGAGCGGGCAGGAGCGGGGCTTTTCAAGGAGGCAGAGCTGAGCACCAAGCCCTAAGTGTAAGCAGCTAGACGTGAATGGAACCTCAGGGGCCTATGGGGCACGAGTCTCACTTCCATCGAATCCATTCTGACTCATAGTGACTACAGGGCAGGGTAGAACTGCCCCTGTGGGTTTCTGAAACGCAATCTTTATGAGAGTAGAGAGTAGCCTCATAGGTCACCTGAGGAGTAGCTGGTGGGTTTGAACTGCTGATTTTGTGATTAGCAGCTCAACTTGTAACCCGCTATGCCACCAGGGCTGGGACTACAGAGCCAGGTGAAGGCCAAAGGGGATCCCATGATCTCCTGGAAGCTTTTAATCGGAGGAAGAGTGTAGCCAGATTTGTTTTAATGGTGTCTTTGAATGTGTGCTACAACATACACAATTTTGAAACAGTAAGAGCAACACTCAAAAAATGGCTGTAGTATAAGTAGTTATATGTGTGCACATATGTGTGTATGTATAGGTGTATCTACAGGGATATGTATATGCATGTGTGTGTGGGTTGCATATATGAGGAAGTTTCAAAAACTTTATGGAAAATTCCATGATCTTTTCATTCCATTTTCCACGAACCTTTTGGTCCCCCCTTGTGTATGTGTGTGTGTATAATACAACATATATCACACATGCATGTACACACATATATACAAAGCACATAGAGGGAACAGTTGCAGATAGTTCTTAGATATAACCAAATGCTTCAAGGTTAGGGTTGAAGGAAGGCATAGGATCTCAGTCAGTTGGCCTAGGATAGCTCATCAAGTTTAAGTTCTATATGTGAGATTGGTGAGTAGTACATAGGGTCTTAAAAGCTTACCATCTAGGATACAACTATTGGTCTCTACTTGTGGAGCAAATAGCCTAGTGAATCGCAGCCTCATCCACCCTGACACCAGAAGAATTCGATAGTGCCCCTAGTTCAGTTACCACTACCAGACTTGCTGATTAGGGACATAATAGATGAACCCTGATTTTAAAAGAAAACGAACTAAACCCACTGCCATCAAGTCAGTTCCAACCCACAGCAACCCTATAGGAGAGAGTGGAACTGCCCCTGTGGGTTTCAAGGCTGGAAATCATTATGGAAACAGAGAGCCTCATCTTTCCTCTGAGGACTGGCTGGTGGGGATTGTGGATAGCAGCCCACATATAACCCACTATGCCACCAGGGTTCCTTGGATCCTGATAGAATAGGAGAAAAATGTAGAATGAAACAAATTCTGAAAAAGTCCAGGCTTACTAGACTGGTTGAGGTTAGGTGAATCCCCAAGACTATCCCCCTGAGATTTCCTTTAAACTTTGAATGGAAACTACTTTCCACTAAAATCAGTATCACCTATAATGACTGTACTCCTCAATGTGAGACCAAATGGTCAAAATTTACTCTAAAACAGAACTTCTTAAACTGCTTGACCCCCTATGGGGGTCACATAACTAAATGTGAGGGTTGCCAAAAATTCAATTCAAAATCAAACACTTAATGAATCTAAGTTGTTTCTGGCAGAATGTGCCCGTGTTGCATCATGCCTTGGTTCTGAACACACAGTATGTGCTCATAGTAAAAAAAAAATCACTAGTGTTAGGTGCTGTGCTTTGAAATACTATCAAAGTCATTAACCTCATTAAAAGTCATATTTGATTTGTACACTTATTTCATAGACTTATATGACTGGAGTTGCATAAAAATTTCTCTGGTGAAAGGAGTTGAGAGGGAAAAAAGTTTGAGAAGCCCTGCTCTAAAACAAAAATGAGGAGAGGGTGAGGTAGGGAGACTAGATGAATAGAAATGGAACAATCAGAACAGAAACCATTGTGAAAACATAACCAATGTCAGTGAACAACATGTATAGAAACTGCCAAATGGGAACCTAATA